AGTATCACAGCTGTAACATTTCCCAAAGCTTCTCATTCCCTGGCTTAATATTAGAAGTAGTACATAAATCTCCTTCTAAAACAGACAGCCTTCAGCTACAGCCTGTTCTACATGATACACTCTTTCTGCATGATGGAAAAAGGGGATGTGGGCCAGAGTAATAACTGTGGCAGAAGAATGATGGCTCAAGTTTGTGAAGCTATTAAATTTGTAATGCTTATGAATTCCTTCCACCTGTGTTAGAAAGGGAACTGCCACTGATAGCCACAGAATTAAAGTAGACAGAAGGTTGACTTGGGTCTCACTAGCCAAAGGACTAACAGAACTGTGTGCTGTAAATTTTCAGCATGGTGTATCAGATTGAGAAACGTCCCTAGAAAATTTCACCCAGCTAGAATGTGAGTGCTGGTGAATGCTTCAGAACCATTAGATCTGTGCTGCTCCAGCCTCAGCAAGGCTTTTCTGATATAGCTGCTGATTATCTCACCCTTTTTCTTCACCAAGGTCCCCAGGGATCACACAAAGCTCCAGTTGCCTTAACTTGCTCCTACAATTCTGGACCATGCTCTATGATACTAAATGACAGCCAGACAACAGAGTTACTTCTGATTAAAGGTGGTGTAATTGAGAAAAGATTGTGTATTTAGGGAATTACTTAAGATCATAAGTACTTACAGACTACAGATGCGGTAGCTACTTCCCTCACAGAAACATACCAACATGGCTTTCTTCATGCCCATGTACTTCACCATGTAAATCATCACGTAAGCCTTTGTGACCAGGATCAAAACTCACTACAAACATGATCAGAGCAGGATCTTCACTTCTGTTTTTGGCGAATGACAGGATTACTTCATACACTCATAACAAACCATGTACCTTACCTTACCATGGCAACCCCAGACAGAAAACACTGCCTTACAGAATAGCACTAACCAGTGTCAAATCATGCTTCAGGAACAATTTGTTTCCCGGTTTCCAACCACATAGTTATCATTGATCACTATGGAACATTATTTATTGCTTTTCTCTGTTACACATTTGTCACTTATTATTTTGATGTTCTTCATAGTAGCAGAAAAGGAACAGAAGAGAAAGAGTGGTGGTTTCTATTGGGCAGTTTAATCAACTGAGGAAGCACGTGCATTGACACCAGAATTCCTTATGCCTACCTCAATATTCGGTCAATATAGAATGTACAGATACTTTTTATCACTAAATACCTGTTCAAAGTGTGTACACTGAAATTACCAATTCTCTTTTTGAAAAGTCTTCTGTAAGGAGTGTTTGTGGGCTAGAAGGGACAGACTTACATTTGAGTACACTGAAGAGCACTCTTCACATTAAGAGTCCAATTTATGTTGATAAAAACAGTGGAAGAAACAGTAAAACAGTAAAACACTGTAATACTGTAGCATTTAAAGACTTGAAGAATGAAGATCCCATTTAAAATAGCATAATCATATACAGAAATACAGAATTCTGAGTGGACAACAAGAACAAAAAGGAAAACCAATGAGACAAAAGGTCATTTAAGTTGTCTCTAAAATACACTAGCTCCTTGAGGACTGCATAGTGGAGATTTCACCTGTGTCTACACAAACAGAATTACTGACACGAGAAAGACTACTTAGAAAGCAGATGTTTTATATTACCTATTTAAAAAACAAATCTGGGAGGATTTAACAGATTTCATTGACATCAGGATTTGGCTCAATACAATTGAATAAACTACAAACGTGCCCTACACTCCACACAGCAATTGTTGCCTGGAGAATTTGCATCAAACACACTAGACAATGCAATAAACTTTCTTTTAGAAGTATAAAAATGCAGCTAATAGATCTATGATTTCTGGATCACCACAGCCCATGAGTGTTTTACAAGATCAGAATAAATGATTCTCTTACAGCTGGGGACTGTTGTTGGCCACCACTGGGGCGTGTACATGGAAAGAGGCTTTGGGGTCCATCCCACATCCTGCAATCCTATAAAATCACTATAGAATAGGAAGGACATTCATTTTTAAAGATCACAGACTATTTGCTGCATAACCACCCAAGACACAACTTTGTATTCAATTATGGCAAACTAAAAGAAGGAGGAGGAATAAAACCAATACTTAGTTTTACATTTTAAAATGTATATTGAAGCTAAAAGACACATTGACTGTTTGCATTACACTGCTCTAAAGGACATTTTAAAGCTGGATGCAGCTGGGTCTCATACATGTCTTCACTAGCAACACTAAGTTCTTTCTCCTGGTTCATACTGAGTCACTCCACCAGGCTAAGGAACGACTTGCTCTTCATAAGTATTGGCCATCTCAAGAAAGTCAGCTGGAAATTCAGAAACTGAAATGTAAAACTTTCTCTTCATACAAGACTAAGAGCTTGCAACTGCTTCTCACCAGGGGCTCTTGGGACATTACCCTAAGCAAACCACCAAAGCTTTATGTTAAAACAAAATCCAAATCTTGGCACTGCAATTGTTAGTAATTTTCAGAAGACCACCAAGTGCACAGTGAACTGGTGAATCCTGGTGTGAAACTGTGGCCATAACTTTAAGGAATAGAAAGTCCGAGATTCTACCAAATGCTACCACTGTCTGTAACTCCTAATGCTATGCAAACAAACTGATTGCATTGTAAGAAAATGTGAAGGAAATAAAGTTCATCACCAATGAAGGAGCAAAGATGATGATGAAATCAGATGCATTCTGAAGGTAAAATAGTCAAGATATTACAAGTTATGGAATGCTGCAGGCATGCCTTGCAATGCCACATCTGCATCTCCAAAGCTGATTTGTACCTTAAGAGGCTCTTGAGGGAGAATGAGTTGGATTTAAGGAGCTTTATCTGCTTTTGCTTTGAATTTTTCTGTTTGCTTCAACAATGGTCATTTAAGATAAGGCCTAGTGATTCGGTGATGTGAACTGACAAGGGGAAGTGACAAGAAAACAAATTTATAATCACAGCAAGTATTAAAGCAAAGTATGAAAAAAATACTATCTTTGCTCCATTTGTGGTGTATCACATCAACCAGACAACAGCCTTGTTAAGTATCTGCACACCATGTACAGCAGAGCTCTTCAACTCCCATATATTTGGTATATTCAGAGAGATAAACAGAAGTGCAGATTGTTTTGTCTCCAGTGTTTTTTTTAAAGATAATATTGCAATCTAACTTTTCAATCTGAACTAATTACAGCGATGCTGGGGTTTTGTTTGTGCATGCATGCGCTCCTTCCTTTGTGGGAATCTTTAAGAGTGTAAAAGCTCCTATAACTGGTAAGCAGACAGATAAAAAGAAACTGGGATCCCTCAGATTAGACAGAAATGTTTTAAACCCTTAAAGAGGTGAAACTGAATGGAATTCATGAATGGATTACTACAGCTCTTTGAGTAATCAATTCCAATCGCTATTAATAATATAACTTTCCCTTCAAAGAATTACTTTCACCTTATAAAGTCAAAGCTTGTAACCTCCTTAATCTTTACTACAGCCTGCAACAATTACTATTAGGCATAGAGGATCTACAAATTGGAAGCTCTGTGCCATTATCTCTTTTTCCAACATACTCTTTTGACGATCATAAATAACTCTAAAATTATCATAAAAATTAATAGTACTACAGTTAAAGAAAATTATTATGTAAAGGTTTATGAATTTTGCAGCCATTAATAGACATAAGTCAATGAGCCATAGGCTTTCCAGAATATGATATCAGATATTTTTCCACCAACAAAACTTTCAGAGTTCCAAATCCTTCAGAGGTCACCAACTTCAAAAATAGAATAGAAAGTTACTGTTTAATACTAATGTGAGTAAAAATGAAACAGAAGTATTACAGCAGGTATTATGCATAGCAATTGGAACAGCCCAGTAAAACAAGATAAGGAAATCTACCTCGTCACCAACTTGGAATGGAGGAAGCAAAACCAGAATATTCAAGAAAAGATGCATTTTGAACACTCTCTGCATATTTTAAATTCAGAACTACTCAGAGTCGTAGCTTTAAGCTAGAAGGGAAAGTTAGGCTCAGGGCTTATAGACACCAAGTCATAGAGAAATTCATCATACCCCTCGGAAACAGGTTCCAAAAAAGGTTACTGTCAAGAATGTGCATTTTGACAACCACAAATAAAGCTGTTCTCCCATTCCATTACTCTTATGCTGTATGCCTGGGATGCTTCAAGCTCTCAGCAAAAATGTCGAGGAAGCATGACTCCTGCAGTAACACCAGCCTTTGGTTTTGTCAGTCATGTTTTAAAGAAACGCAAACACCTGAGGTTTTGAAATGACAAAGAGAGCTCCCCACAGCACAGGAAACAAGTATGCATCAGCCGTCTTAATGGAATAAATGTTGGGGGTTTTTAATCTTTTCCCTCTAGTCTGAAGATGATCATATTTCCTCTTGAATGCTAATGGCCAATTTTGTGACTTAAACAGGTACAAACTCCTGTACAGTACAATTCACTGACATGAACTGATGAGCAGGACCCAGTGGACATCACATTGCACTGCTTCTCATGTTGTGGCCTTAAGAACAAGCATTTATTCACACTTTCTCATGCTATTGCTACTTATTTTCAAAGTAAAATTCAGTGAAAGCTTCCTTCCATATATGGCTTTGCTTTTGGGTGTTGCAACAGCAGAAGACTGAAGGCTCCCACAACCTTATTTATAATCACGGACAAGACAAATATACTGGCTTTAGAGAATATCAGAAATAACAGAATCCTAATTAAAAGTAGCACCCAAATTGTCAGATATATCACATATTGGACGCAATCAAGACAGTAAAGATAAATGCCTTGAAAGAAAAAGTTCCAGGAAAATTTTACTGATTTCTTTACTAATCCTAGAAGTAATTCAACAGTTGACATAGTCTTCATGATCAATACGTTCAGTCCTGAAGTTATGCTATAAACCAGGTTCTACAACTCTTTAGTTAATGAATACGATAATACAGGCAAGGGAAAAAAAAAAGATCTTTACCTTGTAAGGCCTTAGAATTCCTTGAGGTGCAGATCCTTTTGTAGCTTGCAGTGTTTGCATGTCATGTGAGACCTAAAGATCAGAATAAACATATTGCTACAGCTAACAATGATGGTTATTTATATGTTGATGAGAACTTGTTACTAGTTCTTAAGACAGATCAAGACTCTTCCTCTTGTAAAACATTCTGTACTGTTCACTTTAATGGGAACTACTCAGCCACTTTCAAAACAATATAAAAGCTTCAGATCCTCTAAATTGATTTTCAAAAGCATTCAGCATCCTGAAGTCACCTTGTCTTCTTTGCCAAAATAAGGCAAATATTACTGATTGGTGTAGCAATTTTAAAAGATTAAGTATATCTGTGAGATAAAAAAAGCTATACTTTGAAAATTATAAACAAGGAAGTGTTTAACTAAGTGCCAGCCATGTAATACTGTAGGCTACAAAGCCACTGATATTAAAATAGTGGACATATTATTTACATTTTGTAGCATACATGTTAATATTTTAGGGTACGAAACTCCTTGCACATAAGAAAGTTTAAAGCATGTTGAAAAAAACTGTAATTTAAATAGTCATCCTTGTATTTGGTAAAAATAAACCCTTCTCACTACTGATGAGCAATGAAAATGAGAAAGGTTAGCTCTTCTACCCAGTAATCCCTTATTTCCTACTTGAAAATCATTAAGACATACATAACTTAAAGCACACAACAAGCTGATTACTAGGAAGGTATTTAATTGTGTGCTTATGTCCTATCAAAAAAGAGCTTGATAAGTGACACTACATTGTAGGATGCTGGATTTAAAGGCGATTAAGTGCTTATTTTAGCAGCATTTCCACATCAGCACTGAAAAACATTTGGCAATTAAAAGATCTTGAGAAAGCCTCAAGACTATTCTATAACACATGATATAATATAGCAGTGGCATGCAAGAAAAAAAAAATCAATTTGAGATCCGCTTCCGAAGGCAGATGATAAGAATCATCCACAAGGAAACAGGTAACGGCTGATATGACCTCCTTACCTTGTTAGAATTACAATTACGAAAAAATCAGATACTGCATCTTAAACATAGTTACACATTCCAATTTCACATGTACATTTTAATGGTAAAGCACTAAAGACAAAAGATAAAAATGGCTTCACTTTGAAAAGGAAAAAAGAACCAAGCCCAAACCCCCCATGTCCCAAGAGTCAAGTTAAAGATTCAGAAGTCAGGGCTAGGAGGGAAGAGGAAGATAAATAATTTAGCACTCAGCACAACTAAAGGCTGTCACTCTGCCAACTCTAAGAGAAATGAAAAGGTTTACACGGATCCTGAGAGATTTTACAAAACCTCCAGGGAGCTGAAAAAATAAATCCAGAACAAGAGTTCTGAAGTATGCCACATAAATAGCTTCTAAAGGCACTGATTAGACTGTAAGAATAACGGCATAGAAAGATTCCTTTAGTTCAAAATCAGACTGTTCTCTGGCATTATGTTTGCCCTCCTGTATCATCACCAGCTGCATCAGCAGCAGGGCTGCCTGTCTTTTTTCAGACGCATCACCTTGTCAGAAGCCAGGGAAGATGCTTACGGAAGAGCAAGACATATCGGTATCATTTTAAATGATATGGCTAAGCCTGTGCTTGGCATTAAATGTACAAGCACTGCACACATTTTCATGTGTAAAGACCAATTTTGATCCCTTGAAGTTGAGTAATTTTGGTGCTTTGTGGTGTCAATATTCATGGCTGAACGTAAGACAATTAAGCAAATAAAAATCCCTGTAAGCCTTGGCCGCTCTTTGCAGGATGGAGGAGTGTAGGGAGGAAGAAAGGGGAAGCTTCACATTATTTCCTTCTACCTTAAAATTAATTTTTTGCTCTTATTGTTTGAATTGAAGTAAGAATCTATAACAGGGCCTTTCAATCCCATAAAAGCAAGAGTTAAACTGCAATACCTGCAACTATAAAAAAATTAATTCCATATCATCATCACGTTTTACTTCAAACTAAGATGTAACCTTGTACTTCATTGCTCAGACAATGTTAACTGTAGGAGAATCACAGAAAGGAACTAAGTTCATTTAAGACATAAAGCAATTTTGAATTGCATTGATTACAGTGATCAGTCTATCACTTTAATGTCATTTCTGCTGGCATTTATTAAAAAGACATACATGTGACAACCCACTGATCCTTAACACTGCAGCTGAGATAAAAAGTCTATTTGCAAAGGAAAATTACTTCTTTAATTAGAAACGGAGTATCATTTTCCCTTTCCTTTGTTAGAACTTCAGCAGCCACAGATCAAATACATCATGGGAGGGGTTGCAGAATCTGCCATCTAGTTTCATTTCAAAGTCTTTGCAGTTAATCATTCAAAGTTGTAGGAATAAGCATCTGAGGTGGGGAAGGAAACGTGTCTATCCCCCCATACGGAGGCACTCCAACACATTGCTGCTTAGGAGAGGCTTCAGAAGTGAGAGCTTCTTATTACTAATTAGTAAGGATTCAATTTCAGGCACAAGCTCTTCCCTGTGAGGGTGCTGAGGCGCTGGCACAGGGTGCCCAGAGAAGCTGCGGCTGCCCCATCCCTAGCAGTGCTCAAGGCCAGGTTGGACACAGGGGCTTGGAGCAAGCTGCTCCAGTGGAAGGGGTGCCTGGCTGTGGCAGGGGTTGGAGCTGGAGGAGCTTTAAGTCCCCTTCCAACCCAAACCAGGCTGGGATTTTATGATTCTTGGTGGATGCTGCCATAAGACTGGTGTTCAGGGGACAGGGTCACTACTGCTTGTTTTATCTTATACTGAACTTGAAAAGCATGGCATTCAACAGATATGGGCTTAATTTCTTTAAATTTTCAGAATGAAAATCACAAACTGTGCAGGTAAATCTACACGCTCCTGTGTCTTCTTATAGCACATGGAATTAATTCTGGATAGTTAACTCTTACTCTATTTTCCCCATCAGTTAAAATAAGAACGATTCAATGCAGTGCTGATTTCTTAGCTGAATACAAAGTCTATTTAACAATTATCCAGACTGAATGATTCATTACAACAAAGGTCTTCAGGACCTTGAATTATTTAGATTCTTTTGTGCAGTATATAACCCTTAGGATTTACTTAAATTGCTGCCTACAAATGAACTACCAGTAACTCATCATCTAGCCATGAAAATAACTCAATTGAACTGTGGGTAGATATTTAATTGCCTTCACAATGTTTGTACAGTATTTGTCTATAAAGCTTTAGATAATATTGCCTTTATTCATCTGAGTAAACTATCAATTCCCTTACAACAATAGACAAAAATCTGCATTCCTGTTTTAACTTTCCCCAGGGTACAAATTAAAACTTTCAGGTGGCAGATCTTTACTTTATTTGGCTATAAACTCTCTTTATGGCAATGCAAGTTGTCACAGATGATGGCTACTGGAATACTTAAGTGTTTACCTCCAGCCATTACATAGGGAACTGGAGCTGTGCACGAATTCCCTCTACAAGCTCTGAAAACTGAGCTCTCAGACATCCAGAAACGTACAATTCATTGGCTGTGATGATTCTTCATGGCAAAGAATGTTCATCTTTAACCAGACTCTACTGGTGAAACACTCAGCTGTTACCAAGCAGTAAAAGCAATTTCAGTTCGACTATGGCTATTTCACCTGTGATACAAATACAGCCCAAATTTGTAGTTCTGTTTGAAATAGCTCCGGATGACAAATGCAAAATAACAATTTACCTGTTGCAGGGTGAGGAAAGGAATGAGCACATGTGGAATTCGGGGTTTAATCCCTAAAACTGGGCTGGAAGATCTGAATTGGGATACTAGAATCCTGATTCTTCACCTGAAGCAGAGAATCTGGGCTCCCCAAGTTAAGGAGAAGTCTTGAGTCCTGGTATGTGTTAATGCTTGAGTGGTACAGTGACACAGAGCTATACATTCATAAAAAATCATTAAAAAAAGAGCCTAAATTAGCAGCTTCCATGTAAGGATATCACTTTGTCTAGAATGTGATGAAATTATGCCCAAATACTTCAGAAGTATGAAAAAGTTTCTATTTGGGATAGCAGAATGATTTGAGTGATTTTTGTATTATTGCTTTACAAAGTAAATGATGTATAGGAGCCTGGGACCATACAATATAACAACAGAAACCAGGAGTCTGAGATTGTGGAACTGCTGCTCTAAATAAGGAATACACTTGCTGTACTGAAAGAATTACTTACATGAAAAAAATAACGGCTAGAATATCATATCTGCTCCAACTTCAGAACCTAGTGTAGGATGATGCTAATATCAGCTAATAATATCAGGATCAAAGATGAGTGGAATAAAACTTCCAATTTTAGCTGCTCTTTATCTGCAGGTGTGAATGTATAATGAATTCTCGCCACTGGCTCCCTATTATAAATCCAATGATTTTGTACTCTACAACAGCAGTTTCTACAATTTTCTTCTGGCACAACCTGCTTGGAATACATGACAAAACAGCAGGGTGCCAAAACGGTTTTCTAAATGATCTACTTTGCAAGACAGCTTCCAAGTGCAACCCTGATGAATCTTATTACTCTCAGAATGGAACAAACATGAAAGAAAGAACCCCCATATCATTTACTTAAGTATTTCTTTGGTTTTTTACATGCTACTTTACACCCATGCCAAAGCATTCATTCCAACACAGAAAGCATTTTAAACCCAGGTTAAATAAAAAAACATTAGTGGGTAGGATAGAATTGCACTATGCCTATTTTTGAATCCTGCTGTCTCAGGCAAGTGTAATGAATCATTTGATGTCATCTCAATTACCATGTTGCTCTAATCAAGGGAATTGCTCTTCCCATCCACTCCTTGTATGGAACTCCCTAAATTAGATGGCAGAGTTTTTCCCATGGACAAACCCATCCTCTGGCAAACTACAAGGGTCAGGATTTAGCAAGATTAAGCTACAGAACAAGGCTGGGTGACTCTACACTTCAACTGATCATCAGATCATTTTAATGGTACAGAGGGGTATTTCACTGCAATTTATAGTGGTGGTTGAGTGTTTAATCAGGAAGAAGCATTTATGGGCAAAAGC